ACAGAGGATAGAATATTGACTATTGAGGGATATGATTTGGTATATGGTTGGCATGCTTATTTAATATATGAGAAGGTGGACAAGATTTTTAAAAGAAATTACATTTGGTTCATACATTTTCCCCCTATAAATAAATACCCGGGCAAAGCTGGATTATCAACTAGTATAGAGATATCTTTGCTAACCAGAATGATGCATATGGCTGGCTTCCTTCCCGTAGTGTTCCCAAGAAGTTGTTTAGTCCAGTTCTAGTGTGCCTCTTAGGCCTTTTCTAACCCCAATACCCTGAGTTCTTCCCCCTTTCTTTCCTTTTTCTCTTCTCTTTATCTAATTGTTCTGTTTTTCAATCCTGCAGGTTGCTTTAAACATGCTCACCAAGTGCCAGGCTCTTGAATATTCAGCCGATGGGATTATGAGCATCGCCATCCATCCTGGCTCGGTTAAAACTGCTCGCAACCCACATGTAAGTTTTTTTTTAATGTAGAAAGAGCCATCAGATGTCTTATGGTAATGCTCAAATGAGTCTCTAAATGTTTTTATATTTTATTGAATATGCTGTGCAAACAGAGGTATGTTGAATACTTCTGCAAAAGTTATGCTATAGATCCGTAGTTCTCAATCTTTTCTTCACCTTACCTTTTGAGCCACGGTGGCACAGTGGTTAGTGGGCAGTACTGCAGGCTATTTCTGCTGACTGCCGGCTGCCTGCAATATCGCAGTTCAAATCTCACCAGGCTCAAGATTGACTCAACCTTCCAAACCTTCCCAGGTGGGTAAAATGAGGACCTAACTTGTTGGGGGCAATATGATGACTCTGTAAACCGCTTAGGGCTGTAAAGCTCTGTAGAGTGGTATATATGTCTAATTGCTATGCTGGCCACGGACCACACAAGATTTAAATCATAATATTTCTGCAAGCCTTTGCAGACGATATTGTGATGATATTGTGCCCTCCCACCCCAGGTCTCTGCAGACCACAGGTTGAGAACCACAGCTACATGTTGAAGTAAAAGATTAGGTGTGAAGAGAATGAAGAATGGAAATCGGAACAGGAGCAAAGTGTCCCTAGAAAACTTCATTTCAATTTCCTCTTAGAAGAAAATTGACTCAACCTCACTTCCCCTATAGGAATCTCTTCCTGTTTGCGCTATTGGTGATCTTTCCTATTTGCAGGGGAAGAAATTTCTGCAGGAAAGCATGTGCTTATAACCGAAATAACAAAGATTCTGTTGTTCTCATGTTTAAGACTCAAGGGAGGGTTGGCCCATTTGCTTTGGAACTATAGGCGAGGAAGGTAGAGGAAGACCCTCATATTAAACAAATCACAAAAATTCCTGTTTACAAATATTAGAAGAAACTCAGAGGTGGGATTCAACAATTTTTACTAGTGGTTCTGTGGGCATGGCTTGGTGGGTGTGGCTTGGTGCACGTGGCAAGGGAAGGTTACTGTAAAATCCCCATTCCCTCCCGATAGGGAGGCAGAGAATAGATGGGGACGGGGCCAGTCAGAGGTGGTATTTACTGGTTCTCCAAACTACTCAAAATTTCCGCTACCGATCAGAGATGGGTTGCTCCCGGTTCGGCCCGGTTCGGCCAAACTGGTACTGGAATTCAGGCCTGGGTCGCAGAACTGGCAGTGCCCCAGGCCTGCCAAACCCCCGAACTGATTCCCTCATCGCCACTGGGCCGCCACCATTTTTGTTTTTAGTGAATTATGCATGCGCAGTTCACTGTAAATTGTTCTGTGCATGCACAAAGAACAATTAACATTGAGCAGCGCAAGCAGCTTGCGGGTTGCATTCAGGTTGCAAAACAATAGCAATAGCAATAGCAA